GAACAGTGGAAATACTAAACAAAATGTGTGAAATAATCGGTGGCAATTCAATTTGAATAATGAAAGCTGCCAGTCATCTGTGTCTTTTAAAATACCTTTTATGTGTCAAATCATTTTCTAATGATTTCGGAAATCCCTCAAACTTCTGCTGTTGAGGCTAAGAAGCGTCATTGAGGCCCCACAGAGGGCTCCCGTATTTTGCAAACTGGTTTAGGTCGACTTGGAATGAAGCGTCTTTCACAACTTTTTGCCCAGTAAAGCTGCTGTTGTCTGACTGGGGTCTGGTGCCTTTGAGGAGGACACATTAGTTGCATGTTTAGTGCCGTAATGAATTACAGTAATTGTCTACATCCCTTTTCATTTGATTATCTCTCAATAATCTCCCAAACTTTTTGGTCCAAACAATACAGTTACTATATGACTAAAGGGTTTCTCGAGTTTTGGACTTGTCCGATTTTATTATCTCCGCCAGGAGGCTCTCCACAGCTAATCTCGCATTCTGCTGCCTCACAATATTTCGGGTGACCGGTTGCGGCTGCCTGCTGACTCCTTGCCCACTACTCTTATCCGGCCCCCAGGGGGCAGGAGCCACTAGTGATAACACGGCTGAGTGCATCACCTGTCCGCCTCTGCTACGCCGCTCCCACAGACACAGTTGGAGAAAAGCGGTTTGCTCACTTCTTGAGTTTTGGAGGGTTTGGTTCGTACACACACTGACGCGCACAACGTCGGCCGACAGCTTGGAGAGTTTGCTTTTCTTTCTGGCAAGATTGCACAAAGTGTGTTTTAGACACATGTGGTGAAGATCAATTGAGTGCACCTTTCTAGTTTCTCATAGTGTCGCGTTTAGCGCCATGCCTCATGTTTCCATCACTGACTAGTGGAGCTGGAGCTGATTAATAGTGACTCATGCAGTCATTCTCCCCTGCAATGAATGCAGAATGTAACCTTTGCAGCTGAATACAAAAGCCATGTGTTAGTTGTTGTGAGTATTCTGTTTTTCATCAAGTTCTAAAAGGGCTCAAGTAACATTAACTCCAATCTGTTCCTGTGGTTTCCATGCAGGCCCCATTCCTCCTCTTCCTCCTCCTCCTGACGTCTCGCCTCTCTCGTCTTTCTCTCTTCATCTTGCGCTCATGCGGTTCAGCGGCTCTTTTGGAGTGAAAAAATGTAATCTTCGTTAACAATCTTAATTAGAGTTCGATCTCCCAATAGCAAGCCGACAGGGAATCCATAGTGCAGCAGGAGGTGGGTTTTCGGCTAGGTGGGGGGAGGATTAGAGGGGGTAATTAGTGATTGAGAACTTCGGGGTAAATCACCCAAAAGGTATTTACACTACAGAGGCAGAAGGAACGGGCGGAGGAGGCGGGGGAACGGGCGGAGGAGCCGGGGGACTGCTGGCGGCCTGCTAGCGGACAGTGGAACCAAAGTCCAACACGTGTGTGCGGCGTTGGTCACCACGAAGCTTCTGGTTTCTGCCTCGTTCCTAAACTGGGGGCGGGGGCAGTGAGGGAGGGCCGTGGGGGGGAGTAGGGTTAATGGGGCTATTTTTAGTCGTGAATCTCCATCTGAATTGTCTTGCATTTTTGGTGACATAGCGTACATGAGGTGACAAAATCTCTTATTATGGCCCCATTAGCAGAAAGCGTTTGCCTAATACCAGAGAGTACTCGGCTCTCTGTCTCTCTCTTATCCACATTTATATACTACACTGTGTGGCCAAAAACACACATGAAGCCCCTCCTTTTAACTGCCCCAGTGAAGGACCTGTGTTCTCCCAGCAGGTGTATTGAGTTAGCTGTCAGAATCCTTCTTCTTTCGTCTTTGTGGAAGCAATGAGCTGAAGAGAGGAATAGAAAATTGCCAAAGGGAAACCAGGACTAGCTCAGGACCTAACCCTGTCACGGGACATCTGAGGAAGCAGCTCAGCAGCCTGGCCTAAGTGCAGCTGTATTTCCCCCCCTGCAGAACAGATCATTTGTTCAGCTGTCCGGCTGCTGCCTTATTTTTCCACAGAACATACAGATGTACGCGGCCGTGGAATATTTCTAAACGCTGGGGGCAGGAGATAGTGTCAGGACCTTCCTTTTTATTTATCTGCTCTGCACGGCTTCCCGGGAACTGAGCTGGTCGACTGCTCCGAGCAGGGTGATCATATCCGCCAGAATGTTGTTGTGGCGGATTAAGACTCTGGAGAGAAGTCTGCAGAGTGTGTGTGTGTGTGTGTGTGTGTGTGCGTGCGTGCGTGCGTGCGTGTGTGTGTGTGTGTCTCTGTGATGGACTCCATTTGCACCACCGATCATTACGGAGAAAAAAGAAAACTAGAACATGATACCCAATTACAGACACACAAAAACACAAAGAGAGAGAGAGAGAGAAAGAGTTAAGTGTGTTCATTAGCCCTCTGTGTCAGATTGGTTAATTGTTCAATGAAGTGAGTGGAATAATAAGTTGAGGGGGATGTTATGCTGTTAGTGCAATGTTCACAGGGATTTATTCTCATCAGCTTTGCCTCTTATTGTCTTACACAGATCATGGAGGGAAGTTAACAGCTAAGGGCTGAAGGAAAGAGGCTGAGGCAGTGTTTGAGCAACTGCCCACTCACTAAATACCAACAGACACTCACTGTGTCTCTGACCATTAAGTGTTGTCCCCTGTCATTTGGATGGATAATTCTGTCCACCTTAAGGCGGTACTAATACGCATGTTTTTCCTACACAAGTACTGCTTTGTTTATGTATAACCAACATGCACGCAGCTGGGAGCGGTGACGTAGTAGAACGTCCATGAAGGGAGGTAGGCCGGATGGATGGATGGGTTTAAAAACCTTCACCCAGAATGCTGCTGTTTGTGGCCAATGGGAAACCCAGAAGTCAACGTTCGTAGTTAAAGGAGCAGTAGACCGACTGCCCCACCACCCCTTCCTTACCAGCTCAAAGACTTTTATGGTCAGAGTCAGTGTTGGGTTTGTCTGTCCTGGGGTTAGGGT